ACTTCTTTTTGGGGTCCACTTCCACCCGAGGACCGGTCCTTCGTTTTTCCAAAAGTCCCGGTTCTACCAGAGCTAGCTGTAGGTAGTCCGCAATTTTGCCAAGGACCGGTCCCCCAAATTTTTTTGCCCCCGAAAAACCCACTTGCGTCCTGGTCGCCCGCCGCCAAAAATGCGACACCTTGACACAGACGCCTAGCCCACTATACCGCAGCCTAAGGGCTGCGAATTAATTGTGCACATTTTTCGCAGGAGCATTCCATCAAGAAATGCGGGTCCCGTCGGTCCCGCATTGGCCTGGGCCGTACTGTTCAGCGTGCAGATGTGCTCCATCTATTGGTGGGGAGAATACACACTTAACTAATGCCCGCATAAAGACAAAATGTCAAAAAGAACACATGGTCGTGGGGACTCTCATCTAGCATCAAATTTTCTCTGAAAGCAGACATAAAAGAATAGACATACTCATACAGTCAATCACATTCACAATCACATACGCACTGAAAAACAGGCACACATGCACCACGTCACCACTTCCTGGGAAGGGAAACTGGTCACACTCGCAAAAGCTTTACGATGATTATTAGAATAGAGATGAACTACGAATAGACTGGAGCCTGTGTTTCTCAAAAAAAAAAAGAGATGAGCTAGAAATTAATTAATGTCATTTAAATAGTACTGGATTGATCATCAGTGATTGGCCGCTGGGGCATCCCATCCTTGACAAGGATGACAGCTTTTCTGGACTCCTCATTCCAATCGAGAAAAACAGCGAAGAGGAGAAAAGATGTGGATTGGACTACGGACCCACACATTAGGCCTATCCAGATCCCCAAGGCGCCAAGATGGCAGGAGAAGGCACAGTAGAGACCAATAGGCACAGCTACAACGTAGAAGGCGCCCAAGTTTACCAGGGCACCAGTGAGCTGCCGGCCAGAACCTCGAAGCACACCTTGGAGAGACACCTGGACAAAATCACTGAAGTGTAGGACTGCCACGAAAGGGAACATTCTAGCAGCCAAGATCCGGACATCTTCCTCACCATGAGTGTCGGTGAAGAGGAGCGACCATTGATTTCTGAGCACAAAGATGAAACCGCCAAGGATGCCTCCCGCAGAAAGGGCGAGGATGATGCACGTGGCTGCCACCTGTCTAGCCCGTCGAGGGTGACCTGCACCCAGCTCGTTGCTGACTCGGGTGCTGACTGCAACACTAAGTCCCAGAGGTAACATGAAGATGATGATGATTGCATTGAGACAGATGCTGAACGCACCAACCTCAATCGCTGGATTTGGAAGAAGACCGGCAACGATGATCGCCAGTTCGAAGGACCACCACTCAATGCAGAGCATAACGCACGCAGGAAGCGAGAGGCGCATGTACTCCCCCCATCTTTGGAAACACTGCAAGGACCATCTGTGCCAGGTTTTCTCGTGCAGCCTGAAGTGCCAAATCCACAGTAGGAGGCCGAAGAGGTAGATGGCATAGGAAACCGAGATGGCGATGGCGGCCCCGATCAATCCCAGCCCTGCCTTGAACACCAGAAACCAGCTAAAAGGAACATGGACGAGGAAAGCCGCACTGGAGGCAACAGCCAGAGGGACAACGAGTCCTTGCGCTTGGAGAAACTTCTCCACTGTACATGACCATGCCTGTACGATTATGCCAGGAATCATGTACTTGACGAACACTGTAGCGTTGTGAGCTACATCCACTTGCTGGTGGCAAAGCAGGAGGATGGCCTCCGTGTGCCACAGAATGGCGATCAAAGGGACACAGCTGAGGTTGAGTATGATGATGCCTAGTTGGAGGATCTCCCCTAGCTGCAGAAGCTGCCCTGCACCAAAGGCCTGCCCGCATAGTGTCTCCATGCCGCTGGATAGCCCCAGCAACACAAAGCGACCACAAGCATTCGTGACAGTCACCGAAATGGCAGCACTCGCAAGTTCTACAGCACCCAGGTGCCCCACAAAGGCCAACGACACGGTAGCCAAGAGAGCTTGGACAGCATACATCCCTACGGAGGGTAAAGTCAAATCAAACAACCGCTTCGACTCTGGCACAAATTGCTTCCTGTTGAACCAGCCCTGACCTCCATCCACTGGGAGGTAGAGGTCGTCTCCTGCAAGCAGAGGGGTGACCGTCTCCTGATTGGAATCATTATGACGATCCTGGTAGACCCCCGGAGTCCCCATGGCAGCTGGCTCTTGCCCTCCTCCTAGGATGGACTCGCTGTGGTCGTCCAATGGTTGTCGCCACACCCGAGCGCCCATTACAACTTGCTTGATCCTTCTGAAGGCCCTTCCAAGGGCTCAAAGAAGGGCCAGTCTTCACAAAACCAGAGATTTGAGTTAGTTTAGGGCATACTTGCTTCTCCGCAACAGCCGCCCGTGCAGCGCACCGCACACACTGCACCTGTGCAGTGCACGCAGTGTACTCCCACCAGCAAGAGAAAGCCAAAAAGTTTCTGAAAGAAAGATATGTTATGCAAAACACAATTCTAAGCCACTTTTTTTGCTCGATACGCAATCATTCCAACTATGTTATCAAAAACCGACCTTTTTCTTTTCTTTTTTCAAATTTCCCAAAACTTTCATAGGCATCGATATGGTTTCATGGGCGATGTGATGAACGGCTAAGAGCGGATCTGGAAGACTTAGCGAGGAAGATATTTCTGGCAGCTAAGGGAGGAACTGGAAGACCTAGTGAGCAAGGTTTTTCTAGAGCCCTTTTTGCTCCGAGTCGGCTCTTTCCATGCGCGTCGTGTGTTCAGCTGCTTTCATGCTCGTCCTGTGAAGCTGCTTTGCTGTCTTCAAGATTTGCTCGGTTGTCGCGTGGTGGGGGGAGGGTTGGTCAATGGAAAAGAGGGGTGGGTTAAGGGGATTTTCCATCAGGGTAAGGATGGTCGAGTGGCCACATACGTATTATTGCTCGGAAGAGGCAGTCTGGCAGATGGGCCGCTCCACCGACGGGTGAGGAGGATCTGGCAGGTGTCTTTGAGGGGGTTTTGGTTGGAGCAATGACCAACCGAGGAGGGATTTGGATTGCCGTATGTTCTTGGTAATTGTGTGGTTCTGTGCTTCAATAGAGCCTGTATGATGACGTTCTGAGTTTGGCTTTTTGCTCTGCTTGATTCGTGGCGCTTGTGGTCGTGTCGTTCGCTGCTGCGCTATGGAGGTACTTCACTACAGCACAGCCGCTATCATGTCTGTACAAAGTGGTGGCTACACCCCAATTCTTGGGGACTGCTACAAATTTGCAACCGTCGCTCCGAGTCAAATGTTTGATTGCTTTATAGCATGTGGATGCCTAGATAATGAGCACTCTTTTGAGCTGCCTCTATGCATTGGGGTCCTGCTTTTTATAACCATGGTAACTTTGTGGAGAAAAGATGCTTGGGTGGGGGCAACCCTTGCTCATACACCCCCGTTTGCCAATTCGCCGCCCTGTTAGGGTTGATGAGCTTGACAATGTTTGATGTGCGATTTGAACCAGTGACCTGGAGAAACATGATGTAGGTCTCGCTTGTTGGTTGGCCGTGAATCTGCGGTTGGAACTCCAATCACCTTACGTTGGATATCCCGTACTAGTGTTACCATTTTAAACATCGCGAAGCTTACTGGCATCATCCATGGCACACTTAAACAACCAGTACCGCGTGTGTGTGTGTGTGCGTGTGTGTGTGTATGTGTGCGTGTGTGTGTGTGTGTGTGCGTGTGCGTGTGCGTGTGCGTGTGCACGTGTGCGTGTGCGTGTGCGTGTGCGTGTGTGCGTGTGTGCGTGCGCGTGTGTGTGCGTGCGTGCGTGCGCGTGTGTGTGCGT